TCAACGGAAACTGCACTTGAACTTTGGGGGACTGGTCAGTGTCGGTGCCAGGGGATGAGATTTGGTTCTCAAGGGTGGGCTGTGAGCCAGCACGCCTAGTCTTTCTTCGGGGATGTTCGCTCCCGGCTGCAATTGCAACCGCCTCTGCTGAAGGCTTCCGTAAACGTTTGGGGCGCTTTGGAGGCATACTAAGTCTGAAAAAAAAAAAAGAAAGAGGGAAAAAAACCACCACACAATACTCAAAACTAGAAGATAACAATAAAATGGAAATAGCAGTAACGAGAAAAACTAAGTTACGCGGCAAGGAAAGCCTGTCAGACAAAATGTCGACGCATTCTTCTTATGCCAAAATAAAACTTAACAGGGAAGAGAATGGAAACATTGGATGAATCCATACAGATGAGGACGAATCCTCTAACAAAACTGTGGAGGAAGAATCCTCATATCAAAGACAATAAACGAATCCATACGGATGAGGACGAATCCCCTATTAAAAATGTGGAGGAAGAATCTTCACACAGCAAAAACAATGGACGAATCCATACAGAGGACGAATTCTCTAATAAAAATTGTGGAGGAAAAATCCTCTTACAATAAAATAAATGAATATAAATTAAAATTACAGAGGAAGAATCCCCGAAGCAATAAAAGAAGACCATATTCATGTATAAAAAGCCATGACTGTACTATTATTACGTATGATGCACGACCCTTCGCAGTAGATAGCGCTATTTATGCAATAACCAAAATCAGACCCGAAAAAAATCAGGCCTGTACGGGATTCGAACCACTGACCTCTGCGATACTAGTGCAGCGCTCTACCAATTGAGCTAACAAGCCAACTGGGAGCAGGTTGTTAAGTTGATTCGTAATAAACCCGTGACGATGAATCAGATACAATGAATATATGAAGTTCATATATTTTGAACTGCGGTATTAAATACGTATGATGCTCAATTGGTAGAGCGCTGCACTAGTATCGCACGGGTCAGTGGTTCGAATCCCGTACAGGCCCGATTTTTTTCAGGTCTGATTTTCGCTATTGCATAAATAGCGCTATCTACTGCGAAGGATCGTGCATCATACGTATTTAATACCGCGGTTCAAAATATATGAACTTCATATATTCATTGTATCTGTACTATTATTGTGAGATGTGGAAGGTGGGAAAATTAAAAAAATGCAAAAAATGTGGAAGGAAAATGTTAAAGCAAGTGCAATGCCCGCAAAATGGCGCCCCTATAACAACGATATAAATGGTACTGACCCGCTGGATTAACGTGAACGCCATCGGGTAAATACAAGTGTTTCCCGGGGTGAGAAAAAGGCGCTATGGAACCAACAAAAAACCTTGGGGATGGGAGAAAGCACAACCTCGAGATACTGTTGTAGAATCGCGACACGTTCGAAGAAAGAGGCCGCTCCGTGGTTTGAATGGCCACGTGGAATTACGTGGCAAACAAAAACGACACGAACTTTGTATACCCCGAATAAAAGACGAACCAGACTCTCAATCTCAGGGCCAACAACCTCGGGACTCTTATTCACAAGATCGTTGGTTCCTATCTCGAGAATAACTTTGTCTTTCTTCTAATATACTCAAATTGATATTTCGTGATTCTCAGTAACTTCATCCATTATGCAATTGTTACATTCTCCAGAAAAAAGTCAAGTGGAAGTACCCCAGTATGACAGTGCTCGATCAAATCGGGTCGGTCTCTGACAATGAGTTGAACTTCCTTGGGCTTTCCTTAGGCTTTCATCCATCGTTTTCGTTGCGTCTACATCAAAGGAAGATAAAGCCCTAAGAGGAAGAGGAATAATTAAGCAAAGAGAGCATGGCACTTAAGATAACCGTGTTTGTAGTTGGTGCTGGTATTGCCAATCACAAAAAGATAGTTAAGAATGAAAACGCCTATGATTGTTTTGTTTTGTTTTTTCAACCGTAACGCAATAAAGGTCTCTTATGCGTTATCGAAAATTTCTCAGCTTCTATTATAAATTAATAATACCATGACCTGTACGTAGTCTTTTGCAATAATAACGGCTCGTAATATTTCCAATTTTCCAAATACTACTCAACGCTTCGCGGCCTCTGTTGCTGAAGACAGAAAACATGAAATGTACACATCGCCGAAAATATGCAACATTTTCTCTCTGAGGTTCGTTTTTAATTTGCCGTTGTGAAAAATAGAAACCGCCCCGTAGAGAGTGTACGGGTACACTTTTACAAAAACTCAGAAGAATGCTTCACGGGTACACTTTTACAAAAACTCAGAAGAATGCTTCACCTAGCCCTATTTTACACTATTGAGAGCGCCCACATTTTTCTAGAGAGCATGGCGTTACGTAGTTACTAAAAATAGTATGAAGAAGTTTCTTGAACATTTAGTCACGCTGACTAAGCGAGAACTTTTAGGGGAACTTTATAGAAGCGTGACTAAGCATATTTTCGTTATGACGTAATAGTAGTGTAATGTTACTAAAAATAGCAGTATTACAGATCTCTAGAACATTCTGGAACTTTTGTATAAGGTATATCAAGAGTACCGATCAGTTAAAAGTTAGGCCTTTTAGTGAGTTAGAACTGCTGTTGCGAAGAGCCCAGAGGAGCGAAAGTCGGATAGAGTTGTTGGAATTATTTACTGGAATTGTAAGCCGTGTGGAAGGTTAAGTTGGAGAAAGTATTGTGGACGTCGACAAGTTTTAAGAGTTTTTCAAGAGAACTGTGAGTTGTGCGGAAGTGCACTGAGATTGAAGTTATAATATTTATAGAGGGCTCTAAGTTACGAGGATAGTTATCAGGTTGGTATTAATATCGCTCCGTGGCTAAGTGAAGAGGATAGTTGTTGTACTGGTTATTGGTATCGCTCCGTAGTTATTACGTCAGTTAATAAAGTAGTGGGGTTGTACGAGTTGTATCTTTCTGGCGGTTTGGAAAATACCGTAACATAATCTATACATAGAGAAATACAGATACAGATACAGTTTTTATTGAAGCTCCCTGAATGGGGTTTTCAGCATTAATACAAATGGTTAAATGAAATAAAACTAAAATTAAAGAATGTAAATTTATAGCTGCAACTAGAAATATTGAATAATGAAGTTAACCTAATAGCAGCTTAGTAAATTCACTCTTAAATTTCTTGGGACATTTTAAACACTTAAGGTTGCAGCTTAATGAGGTCCACAGCTTCGCTATTCTATAAGCAAAAGACCTCTGACCATTTGAAAGGCGGTAAAAAGGTATATCCAGGGTACTAGCTGATCGAGTTTTCCTGTTATGAGCACAAGAACATAGCCTAAACTTATTTGCAAGGTAATATGGGGCGAGATTACTAATGGACTTGAAAACCATAGTTGCATCATTAAATCTAAGTCTTTTTTTTTATCAGGAAACCAATTTTGTGTAAACTCTACGATTCTCCTTATTAAATTATTGTTGCATTATTTTTCAGGCAGTGAGCATTGGACTAGCTGTATCAGAAAAGACGAAACTCAAGGGGGTGAACCGTTGCCTACAAACGTTGATAATCGAAGCAGAAACCACTGGGCTACCTAGCTGGGAGAACCGAAAAACCCTTTAAGAGCCCATACGGATCTCTACTGCTTCAAAAGTTGAATTTTCACTTATCTTAAATGCTCTTATGAAACTGTAAGGAGTTCGGACACGTAAAAGAAAAAAAAAAGTTTCCATTGTGTTGATCTTCATTATTCCGTTGGAACAAATTCAAAAGTGCCTTTTTAAAAGTGATTCTTGAAATTATCATGACTGGCTATATAAAAAGTTCACAATGTTCGCTTAGGAAAGTATCTTCTATACAAGGCTAAAAGATTAGGAAAAAATTAAAATGTTTGAACCAAACGTTTTCGGCTGTTTGCCAACATCAACCCTGATGATGGCAAACAGCCAAAAACGCTTGGTTCAAACATTTTGATTTTTCCCTAATCTTTTAGCCTTGTATAGAATGTAAAAAGTTGACATTTTTTTTATCTTTTTATGAATGAGGTTGTGATCTCTAAACAAGTCTTAGTGTTAACATTTACGTTCAAGTTGAAACACCTTGAAAGCGTTTTCCCAAAATATTTAGAACTAATTTTTTATTTCAACTGGTTTCTCCCTTATGATATAAAGCTATCGCCGCCATACGCATGTGTAAAGGTTTTCGTAGAAATTGGAGAACAATCATTTGTTTGCTTGAATTGCTTGATTCAGACTAATGAAAATTATGATTAAATTTTGGGGGAATTTTATTTAATAATAATTGGTTTCTTATCACGATCATCGGATTTTTCTGAATTCAAATGATAGATGTTTTGCGTTTATGGCCAGTATTTAATCACGTTGAAATGTACCGGACTGTTCAAACAAGTGTTACCGAAGTTAGCCATGAACGAACCAGGAAAATTCTGTGGAGCCAAGAGGCCATGGATGTGCCTTCATACGCTTAGTTATTTTGAATATACTTGCATTTTTCCTGATTTTTGTGACTTAATAGTGACCGCCACTCGAGAAAAACCATTGCCATTTGCACCATCAGCTGATTGGGAAATTTTCGCGGGGAAAACTTCAGCGGTCAAAATGAATTTGAATAAATGTTGAAGACTGTTCTTATTTTTTCTTCTCATTAGCATATATAATTAGTAACAAACGTTACGAATTCACTTTAGTATGTCTACAGCAACCAGAGTGCAAAAATGTATTCTTTTACTTTGAGATCATGGCGGTGATTATTTGAAAAGGCGCGTCCAAATATTTACTAAGTTGGTGTGACTTATCCCGTTTGACAAATCAGGGTCATAGGGACTTAACGTCTTTTTTACATATGATTAAAAAAAAAGTTTAAGCAATCCACTAGATGTATTTGTCACTTTTAATTTTGGAATTATGTAACTGATATTTGAAACGAGCGATAATTGAGTAAACACACTGTTCTGCGATGATGTTAAATTGTTGGTCGATGAAAGCTAGATAGATACCCACGGGTCAAGCAGTGACTTCATAAGAATATGACGTTTGGTCTGATGTGCCTTTCTAGCCCGACTTAGTGGACTTTCTGTCCTTGAATTTGATGAATTTTCGATATGCAAATAATGGTAGAAGGGAAGGATCTCCTCTGGTTACCGTGGTATGCTATAGTTTTCACTCAAAGTTTCCATATTTTATGTTAACTGATATGAATGCACCTTGTAACTTGTAGGAAGAAAAGATCCAGTAAGGCAAATATCCTTGCAGTCACAGCGCACACGACAAAATCTGTGAAATTGACACTTTCAGAAAATGAAAGGAACAGCTTTGGCGGACGGAAAGTCTGAGGAGGACCGTTTTAGCGCTAGCGGCAGCTATCTCACTTTCCCACTAGCTGATTAGGAACAGACGAGATCAGGTAGCTACGAGGGAGACTATTAGTAAATTATGGGATGTGGTGACTTCTGTTGAGCTTGTGAGCGATCTCATTTATGAATGAGTTCCCACGTTACTTCCAAAGAAGTTTCAAACATACTCTTTTTACTTGGTTAGCATGCAAACACGACTATGTGACAACTTCTTCTTTTTTTAGAAGCACTTTAAGGCTTGAAATATGTATGGAATGAAGTTCATAACAAGGGCAAAAAGCGACAGAAAGGACGGTAGTTTTAATGAATATAGGAAGTGAGAAACTTGGTAGCGTTTTTATAGTCTTTTACCCGAGGACGTGCTTGGCGTCACATCCAATAGACAAATCACCAGGAAATTGTGCTAAAGTAAAATCAACCTGATATGAACATTCTTTGGATAAGTGTGCGTCTTCAGATCTTTAAATGCGGTTACGAACGGCTAGTAAGGTCATTCATATTTAAGGTACTTTGCAAAGAACTTTCACGAAAGAACTGAAGTAAGAAGTAAACAGAAACATTTAAGAGCTGAGAAGGAACTTTGTTTTTGAGAGTAAGTACCACCTGATTTATATTTTCGGCCTAAAAATGAATATACACACACAGAAAAAAAGTTTTGATCAAGAAATTTTAGAGAACTCAACGTGGAACTCGCGTGGAATCAATTTAAGTCACGACACTTATACTGTAAACTGATTGTCCGGTTGACATTTGTCTCGAAAAGTACTCTTGTCGGCGATAGTTACTGACGATTCGACAATATTGGCATCTGTTTATGGAAGTTTACAACATAGCTTGCAAACTAAGGTACCCAACTTTAATAGTGTGAGTGCCTCATAACCGTATTGTCCATGCACGCTAGCAAGACGTCAGCAAGCAAATGCCTTGAAACGGAAAAATTTCCTCTGCGATTGACTGCGACCTTCCGACCAGTTTGGCCGCGAGTTTACGATTTTCAAGATGCTTTTTCCGTTTCATCCCGATTGAAACACACTTTTGGGAGCTGTTAATGAAAAGCGAATTCATGATTTGAAAAGTGGTGGTATTTTAAGCCTTAAAAGCGACGGAGAAAGCTCTCGAGTTAACAATACTTCGATTCCCAAATGCTATCCGAATCATGGATGGAAAATGAAGTCTGTCATTGCTGACAAAAGTGGAGCTTCACCAATTTCGGACCATTCGTTTGCCCCGTAAATATATAATTTGAAAGTGTGGATATGTTCTTGGGGTATTGCACATCAGATGATTTTGTTTTAAAGCTAAGAGTTTTAAAAATTTTCAACACAACAAATTTCTGGCCGTAGAGTCGAGTAAACAAAAACTCTCGCAAGCGTTGTAAATAATCTTTTTGACCTCAGCCTTCCGCTGCTGTCAAAATTAAAGATAACAGGTATAATTTTTATCAAAAAAGTACTCTGCATTCGCTCGCCAAATTTTCGGCTGCTCTGCAAGCTACTTTTCACTAATTTTTCTCTTTAGTCAACGAACATTTTTAGGGACTGAACTCCATCAAATTTGTGTTTTTCTTTTTAGGGGAGAATTTTAATTTTTTTCTCTTTTCAAATCACTTATCAATTCCAAGAAATAACAAAAAAAATCTGTTCACTTAGAACTTGTATAACAAATTGGCACTGTTCTGAACTCCCTCCAGACAGAGTTTAGGAACTGAGTTAATAAGTTTTGAAAGTTGCAAAATGGAAGTAATCATTAAACTAGGAAATGATTATAAATTCCGCTACTGCTACAAAAAAACTATTACCAGAAAAAAAGAAAGTACCTTATGGAAAGTTAATTCAACTTTCTAGTATTGAAGTATTTTTTTTTAATTTTTAAGATTCAAACGAGTTTTATCAGACACTATGAAGTCAACGGCATTTATGTTGGCAATTCTCATTTGGGGCGTTAACATGATTTGTGGTAAGTCTGTCATAAATTTAGTAGCATTTACCCAGCATTCCTAAGGGTTCGCCTAATGAAACATTTGTTAAATAATTATTGCACATATAACGTAACAATTTCCGTTTCCTACATGGCTTTGGTCTTCAATGAGCTTTAAGTGTCCCTGTCTGAGAAAGTGTTCCAGGAGCCAAAAGTGGTGGTCAACCGATTTGGCTGAAACTTGGCGTAAAAGTTGAGTGTGATAAGATATTTCAAAAGCCACTTTGGCTTACTTTTCTGACTGTTTGTTCTGGAGTTTCAGTGGGGGTATCGTTTGTGGCCTATGGAGCACCAAAAATTCATCCCTCTAGGTGGCATTTTGAAAGTGCTATAAAACTCCATTGGTGAATTGTGCTGCCAAATGAATTTGACCATGAACTCTACTATAGTGGAGCTTTTACTTCATAAATGTAACTTTGTTCTGAAGCGATTGGACAGAGAGGGACTTGAGGCTAAATTTAAGTCAAATTTGAGGTCAAAATCACTACCCAAAATTGCCATTTTTCAAAAAACCATAACATTCACCTGCCTTCTTGCATAACTTTCATACCAAATCCAGTATGTACTTTAGTGACCCATTTATCAAAATCAGTTGAGAAAAATTTGGCTTCTTAGTCTTACTAAGGTCTGTTAAGTTTTTGGCACAAACTCTCCATACCCCTCTAAGGCCAAGTAAATTGGAATTTTGAGCATAATTTATGCTATAAACAGACCAAAGTTTTGACATAAAACATTTATTTTGTATTTGGTGTGTGAAAATGAAGCATTAAAGCCAAACCAATGTCATTATCTAGAAATACCTCGACTCATAGCTTAAAATTACTCCAAGAAGGCCTCTGATTAGCACTGCAAACACTCAGCGGTTTAGCAAAATAAAGGTAATTTTTTTCCCATGAAAACCTAGTACCCATCATAGAACACAAATGATGATGTTCTGACCTAGATATGGCAATATATTTTAAGATGATTGAATTTTCTCTGATCTATGTTTGTTAAGCCATATTTCCTTACAGATATAACTCCAAGCAAGCAAAGTCTCTATATTTTGTGAGGCTGGTTTTTAATTGAAAATAAACTGACCGTGAGAGTATTAGGACTGGACCGAGTTTCCACTCCTCCCCCTATTCAAGTCTAAATGTTTGTGTCCTGAACAAGTATTAAAAGCATATCGATAAGAAGTTTCAGGATAATTTTACGATGGCGCTTTGTTCCTTTGGAGAGGTAAATGATCAGTGCGGTGCCGCGTCTTGGGCTCTGCACGAAACAGGAATAACTCCTTTGTTGTCTCGCGATAATGACATGACTACTTGGTTAAAACACAAGTACAAGGGTTCAGGTACGTCCAGGGCGAGAGGAAGATTGGGTGATACCAAAGCTACAAGTACAAGTGATTAAAAATATCAGAAAGGGCTCATACACGCGCATAAATGTAGCAAATGGCTTTTTTAGTGCCACTCTCACTAAGAGCGGTCCACTCAACTTCCCGTCCAAAAACATTTTTCTTAATTTTTTTCCTATGAAAAGGGTTTTGGACACAAGTTTCAGAATAGTATGAAGATTTCAGCTTTCGCGAACTCTCTGTCAAGAGAAGATCATTTGGTTATATCAACTAAGTTGAAATTGTAGATTGGCCACCGTAACGAGTAAGAAAGCTGACGTTTCGAGCGTTAGCCCTT